TGAGGGTGGTTCTTCTAAGGAGACTATTGTCTGTTGTTGTGCTGACTACTCCAAAACTAAGTATAAACAGCCGGGATGTTCCTCTTTATCAGCCTTTCAGTTCTCGTTCTAGGGCATAGTCGCTGGTAGGGCCTGCATCGCTGACTTGGCTTCGCGAGCCAGCTGCAAACTGCCCGGTCCATCAGGCAAATGGGCAGGATGTCTTGTGAACCTGACCTGACAAACTAATCTAACAAGCAAGGCTATTTACGTTACATATTACATATGGATCTAATTTTTCCAATGTTAGACTACGCTCCCAAAGGTTTTTTGGGCTTCGTGGTGGAGCTCTGTCGCCTCTTGGTTCATTTCACAACTGTTCCTCTGTATCACAGGTTGCAATGGTAACATAGCTGGCCCACTGAGTGACTTTTCAGATTAACCTCTATTTTCTCTACCATTTCCACCCATCAGCCATGGAGCTCAGTCTCTCTGCCCTTCCTGCAGCTGGTTGGAGGCAAAAGGGCAGCGCAGGATTTTAAGTCATATACTCTGCAACTTTACCTGATAAAAAAAATAAAGCTGGCCAAGTGTATTGCATATTAAACTTTGCAGGTGGTGGTAGTACATGAGCTGTTAGACCCCTGTTTCGTTTGCAGTGGCCTTGGACACTCAGTAGTGTTGGTTTCACAGCTCTAGAAAAAGCTTCCTCTGGAGTAAGTGGACTATTGCTAGAGGAAGTGCTAGTGTACTACACCCAGCCTAAGCACTGCTTTTTTAAAGAACAAAGACTTAAAAGTCTAACGAACTCTTTCAAAATTTATAATTTATCGCTTCTTCCCCAATTTGAAAACGTCGTCAAAACAACACGAGAAACTGAGCAACTGGTGCATTTACCTAGAGGCATTTTGCATAAGGTGTCAGCCAGTACATCTAAAAAATTTGAAAGAAAATTAATAGGCTGAAGAAAATCCTGGATTTTTGGCTAGTTGGATTTTACTTTTTCTCTAACCAGTAGAGTCTTTATAGGGGAGCTTCTGCTGTCCATTTCATTCGCTTGCATGTGCATATCCTTTTCCCTTACACAGTGAAATAACCTGAGTGTACATTTACTTTGTTTTCTTTAGGCCTGGTAGATGCACATACACACCCAGTGTGGGCTGGTGATAGGGTGCATGAGTTTGCAATGAAGGTAATGACACACAGACTGGATTTTTCTTCCTCTTTTTTTATGCATAACTATTTTTACTTTCTAGTGACTCCCATTTTTCATCTGTAGAAAAATATATAATTTCTATCAGGTACTCTAACTGAGGGAGGATGGATGGTTTTTGACTACTGGTAGGCTGAGAGAGGAGTGTAAGTGCAGCCTTTGCAGCCAGCGGTGACATATTTTTCCGTTAATTGAGACAATACAGGAGTGCTGCCTTCTATTACTATCTAAATCTTGATTTTTTTTCTTTTATTCCACATAAATGAATTTTTGAGCTACAGATATGTTTTCCTCTTGGGCTCAGGGGAAGCAAATCTTCAGAATAATTCTCTTTATGTCACTTGTTACATCATTTCTTCACTTAAGTGAAGGGGAGAGAGGAGGGCGTGGGAGGAAGAATTAATGGAGATTTTTTTCCCCTCTCTTTTTCTCTCTCACTAGAAAGACCTCAAGGCCCTTTCCAGAATCCCTTGGATAGAAAATGCACATTTAACAGCTAATTGTATGGGGGTGGGGGGTTGTTTTTTTTTTTTTTTCCCAAGCTGGCAGGTGCGTCCTACATGGAGATCCACCAGGCTGGGGGAGGAATACATTTTACTGTGGAACACACTCGGGAGGCCACAGAAGAGGAGCTGTTCAATACTTTCAAACACCGACTCGAACGCATGCGCAGAGCAGGTTCTACGTTGGTTGAGTGCAAGAGTGGATATGGCTTAAACTTAGAAACAGAGCTTAAAATGCTCAGGGTGATCGAACGCGCTAAGCAGTCCGTGGATATTGGCATTTCTTCAACGTACTGCGGAGCTCATTCTGTGCCGAAGTAATGTGACTTGATTTTTCTTGCTCTTGTTAAGTGCTGCTGCTTTGTATTGAAAACTGGCTGTTATTTTCTGAAAGGTTTCTTCTGTTCAGCCTTCCTGAAATATAACATATTTGAAACAATAGCCACTCTTTACAGAAGGCTCTCCTAAATTTTAGTGTGAAGGAAGATGGGGGAGTGTTATTTAATGGCTACTAAATGCCAGCATAAATTTAGTACAGAATCGCTGCCTCCAGCTTATGCTCACAGGGAATATAACACGGATTACAGGATTTCCTGGACAGAAAGTTCTTCTGCTTGGGTTTGCTGCTACCCTTCAAGCTTAGTCTCTGCCATGAGCCTTTATTTTGACCAGCTAACAGAAAAAAATGCTGTATTTAATCCTTATATAGCTCAAACCTTAATTATACTTCTATGCAATGAAGAATTGCATACATCTTACAGGTATGGGATGAGTAGAAGACTAAAGTAAACGTGCTTAATCACAACTATTTTGATGGCTCAAGTAGACATACCATAAACAAGCCAGCCTTTCTCGCTTTGACATTTTTTTCCCTATGATGAAAATAACATCTTCAAGTTTCAAGATTTCATTGTATGAAGGAATTAATGAAGAGATTTAGCTAGGTGGGTGTATGTGAAACATATATTTTGACAGATTAAGCAATAGGCTGCTGCAGAACAAGGCGTGTAAGATGGAAGCAGGCCTGGCATCACGGGGGATACTGTGGCAATTTTAAGAGGTGTTTATTTGAAAAAAAACCCCCACCATACTCCAGAAAAAATCTACCTCTTCCAACATTCAAGAAAACATGACCTGAATACATTTATTTGCGGTCTAGTTATCCTGTATTACAAGCAGGGTGGGAAATTATCTTTTGTTAGTTATTGTAATTATTCAAAAGGCATCCTGTCTCATCTTCAGTAACTGGGAGATGGTTAAGAATAAAGTAACTAAAATCAGCTGAAAACACCAAATATTTATTTCAAGAAATTCTACTAAAGTTTGGAGGGCTTAATGGTAAAATATAATTAAAGTTTTACACCAAACTATATATATTTCTTAGCCCTTCATTTCCTCTTCCCCTAAAAACCTTTGGGAGGATTTCAGTCAAAATCCCGATAAATAGTCTTTCCCACCAAAATATTTCAAGCATTTCTGTAAACTAATGAAACAAATTCCAGTGTTTTTACAAATATATCAAATATTATGTGTTAGAAAGACAAGTATACTGTCTCACTCTCTGCACAGGTCTGTCCCCACTGATGCACATCAAGAATAACAAAATACAGGTAGTGAGAATATTGTATTTTAGATAAGGAGAAAAGGTAGTTGGAGATTTGAGGAAATTTCCTGAATTATCTGTATTTTCCAGTTTGGGTCTTCTTAAATCCTCTTCTCTTTTAATTCAAATGTTCATGTCTAGAATATTTTGCTTGAATTTTCTGCTGCCCTTCAAACTTAGTCTCTGCCTCGGGTATTTATTTTGACCAGGGGCAGTTCTGCAGTTCTTCCCTGATCCAAGGCCTGGTGTTCAGAGCTGTGGTCCTCAGCCGTTGGCTGGCCCCTGAACACCTGGGACAGTAATGTGCTGGGGGAAGCATCCTGCTTTGTTGAGCTCTAGTTTTAAACTCTGAATTTCCTGCAGCTTCAGTAACAGTGGAGGATTGAGAGTGGAACATGTTGCCCGCAGGCTTGGGGCGGGGAATTGCTCTTTGATATTATTTATGCAAATAAATGGTGATCTTGTGGAGTCTAGAAGCTGTTAAACAGCCATCTTCCAAGTCGCTTAAGTGTATGACAGTTTTCGCTCATCATTATATTCTATAGAACTGCCCTGTAGTTCAGTTATGCATAAACAAAAGAGTAAGATTGATTTAACTGGTTTTATTTAAATTTTCTTCATTTAAGTAGATCTTAAAACGTAATGCCCTTTTTTGTTGTGGGTACTTAATGGCAACTCTTGACGAGATAGCCATTAAAAATCCAGTAATCTGATGATTTTGGAATGATCATAGTTGTGCAAATTTGTTACTACCGATCTGCTAACATTGAATCAGTTTAAAATTGTTCTATTTAATGTGGAACAAGAGAGCAAAGTTATGCTTGCTCGTGGAAAATGCTGCTTAGGCACCTACGGAGCTGCTGCCAAGGAGCTTTGTTAAGTTCTTGCTAACCCATTTGCTTGCTTGCTTCTTACGCTTGGCTTAATTTACCGTTGCAAGTCTGGCCTCTTACAGCAGAGCATCACCAGAAAGTTCATTTAATTGATAAAGGTGTCAACTCTTCCTTGTTGCCCAGTCTTGCAATATCTGGCATGTCTTTTAAAGCTTGAATGTATGGAGTCTTAAGAGGAGCCTACCTCCAGACGTGCCAGCACTGGTTATTCACTTTCTCCCACCTGGAAATTAGCTTTGGGCAGATGTTGAGAACTTGCTGCATGTATCTGTTCATGACTTCTAGGTAAACGGAAATTCAGTCTGATTTTCTCCTTCTAGAAGGCACCATTGACACATGATCCAAATTGACTCTGCTCTGCACCAGGGGTTGGGTCAGATGAGCTCTGGGGGTCCTTACAAACACAGTTATTCTGTGCGTGTATTGGTGGTAGGCAGTACTTGCAGGCGTGTGCGCCAAACAGTGCAGGCCACTTCAATCTGAGCCATCCTAGAGAAAAATAAGGCTGCTCTGTTTGCAGTGATCCTTGTTCCTGTCCATCACTTTTAAAAATGTTTCCAGCCTCAGAACTTCCAGTTCTTTAGGAAATGAACCTAAAAAACTCACAGCGGGGCGTAAAGAAATAACTGCTCTGTCGTCCCTCCAGTCATTGCTTTGAATCAAATTAATGATTTTGAGGATGTCTGATTCTTTTTTTTTTTTTTTTTTTTTTATTTGGCAAAGCTTTACCTGGGCCCTTTTCATCTTTGGGAATAAATTTTCAAACTGATTTCCTGAGCAGAAGTCTCTTGCCTTAAAACAACAGCAGATTTGCATTCTTGGGCATTATGTCCCCCCAAAAGTGAAACCAAGACTTACATTTCCCTCTGTTTTGTGTTGGCTCTGGTCCTAATCTTTCAGTCCAAATTCCTTCAAAGGCTGCTGAGTAAAAGAAGAAAAGGGAGAAGGCTTGGCATGGTAAAAACCTGAGCAGCCCCAATGACTGTTTCAGTGAGAGGTGAAACAGTTTGAAGGGCTGTAAACCGGGTTCTGCTCTGCTCTATAACCGCACAACTTGTTTGCAAATCAGAGCAGAATTTGGCTTCTTGAGTTTACTACCACTGTAAGAGCTCCTGACTTGCCCACATGTGGCACTTGTATAATGCCTTACAGTGCCTGAAATGAGGATTGAGATGTCACAGACATTTAGCTGCAGTACGTCACTTATCTTCAGTCTTAAAACTGCAAAATACTGACTCAGCTGCGTATTTTGGGATTGTTCGCTCTTTCAGAGGCATTTATTGATCTCCTGTGGGTTATCTTTGTGTAGTAGGGGGTTTGTAAATGCTTCTGACTTTGGCAAATCAAACCTCTGGAGGCCCCTCTGATTTAGGAACCGTTACCTAGCTATGACTGAATGATATAAAGGGAGGAGAGGTAAATTTAAAATAATGATTTGTGCTGCGCATCACCTTTGAGCTTTGATATTTGCATAGAAATATTGCATGAATGCTACTTAATGTATTTAAATAATCATTTACATATTTTAAATAGTTGTGTTTTAGGATACAGAATAAGGAGATCGGAATATATGAACCGGAAAGCAGAAGAATTAATTTTAAAATATCCTGTATCTTGGTTAGCATCCAAGATGCCAACCTTATAAAAATATATAGTAATGCAATCTAATATTCTTTGAATGATAAGTAACTCATGTTTGAGAGTACATGAATTACAGTAGTTTTACATTTTTTAACCTGAAGGTTTTTTGAGTGATTTGTATTTGCATCCTTTTCTAAATAATCTGGTAATTGCATATATGATTTGAATGTTTGCCAGACTTCAAGGACTTTGTGCTTATGGCTCCATAACGTTTCCTTTTCATTAGAGGGAAAACTGCTGCTGAAGCCGCAGATGACATTATCAATAACCATCTCCCTAAACTGAAAGAACTTAAACTAAGTGGTGAAATACATGTTGACAATATCGATGTGTTCTGTGAGAAGGGAGTCTTTGATTTGGAGTCTACCAGGAGAATTCTTCAAGCTGGAAAAGATATAGGGTTACAGATTAACTTCCATGGCGATGAACTGCATCCGATGAAATCTGCTGAGGTACATCTTTCTTAGCGTTTGGTTAAGCCATTTTTGTTCTTGCGAGAGCCGAATCTGTGAAAGAATTGCAGTTTTCAAAACTGAGGTTTTCTTTTCTAAGACGATGTAAGATGAGAGAAAGTGCAGCCCTTGTAAGATGTAAGATGAGAGAAAGTGCAGCCCTTGTGCAGCTGTGGAGTTAAGGACATGGGAGGAAGCCTTGACCTTTTGACTAGCATGCACTGCCTGATCAAACATTGACTTTGCTTATCTTCTACAAGGGATACAGATGGGGAAAGTGGGTATCTGTGAACCCGAGAATCACAAAAATATCATTTCTGTGCAACTTGAAAAATCTTTTTTTCCTTAAATGTCCTGTTAGCAGCAACAAGGCAGATGTGCAGCGAGCACACTCAGAGGGATGGTTTAGTCAAGAATAGGCTCCCAAACATCTTGATAAAGAAAGTCACTCTGAGACTGTGTTTCACTGCCTTTTAAACATTGATTCATTCCTATGGGGGTCTGCTCAAGTTATTCTCTGCTATATGTAAAAATAATAAAAACAAAATTTAAACAAAACTTAATTGATCAAAAAAGCCTTTTTGGTGCTTCACCACTGCAGGCAGCAGTTGCACTATGATTCTGCAACCACTGCCAGTTTTGTCAACCATTTTCTGCTGAATACTTTGTGAACAGGAGTTAATAATGATTTTATCCGTAGCCATCCAATAGTTTGCATGTTAGTCTGTTAAAAACACCACTGAAGGTACGCTTCCACTCGGTGGGTGGTTAATACCTTTTTGTGATCAACTTTTCCTGCAGTAAATTAGCAAGTATTTTGTCTCTGTATTCCATTTGTTCTTGCAAGCATTCTTTATGATTTTTTTTTTTAGTGAATTTTACATTAATAGTGAATTGTCTCCTCCAGTCGTTTGAAAACAATATTGCTTTACTGAATTGAGAACAGTGAGTAATTTTCTTGAAAATGTGCTTAGCTTGGAGCTGAACTGGGAGCCCGAGCTATCAGCCACCTGGAAGAAGTTAGTGATGAAGGTATCAAGGCGATGGCGAGAGCTAAGTGCGCTGCTGTCCTCTTACCGACAACTGCCTACATGCTAAGGTAAGGCCACTAGATTGGAGGAAAACTGTTGTAACAGCAAAGCTATGTTTGTGGTTTTAGTGTCTTTTAATGAAAAAATGTAAGTTTGTATCTATGCCTTAAGGATGAGGCTGGATCAGTGAAGACAATCACAAATACAGAGCTGAATGAGCCTCCTTATGTCTTGTTTCTGGTGGCAATCCTCAAAAATGAGGCAATATCCTACTTCTGAGAAGTCTCAGAGTAGATTTCGGAGTGGTTCAGTTAACACTGGAATTTAACCCTTATGACAGGCTAAGGTAGTAATCAGGCATTCATTTAAAAAGAAATCTGGGCTGGTTTTCTTTGATCCATTTAGACTCTGAAAACTGAGTTGGCTTATTTACAGGCAAATTGTGTCTACCTTATATGTACTTGCTGTCTTGCAGAAGGTTTTGCTGGGACATGAATCCTTTGGTCATCAAAAGAGCTGAAAGACTGTGGGTAGCATTTTGAAAATCTCATTTGATTTTACCCAGGCAATGCTGAGCAGGATCACCTTAAGAACACTATTTTCCATACACAGATATTACAGATAAGCATAGGTGGATCACCTGCTTGCCCCTAATGCCAAAACCAAGCTGACTAGATGATGAGGACCACAACCAAATAATCCCTCCTGTGAAAAGAAGATCATTGAGCTGATTTTGGTTTATTTTCAACAGCCCACTTTCCAAGGCATCCAGGCACGTGCCATTGCCACCTGTGCTCACTTCTGTGCCCGTGCTTGTGTTCCTGTCTGTGGTCAGCTGTTTGTGTCCTGCACCAGTACTTTTGAACCACTGGCTGATTGCAACTACACGCACTGCCAGAATACAGATCTCAGGGAGGAACGTGTGGTCCTGCAAACTGATCCCAGGCAGGGAGGTGAAGGAGACAACAGAGACACAGCCAGCTGTGGAAAAGGCTGCAGCTGTAACACGTGTTACTCTAGAGAATCCGTGCGGTACAAGGTTTATAACTTCAGGATTAGCCTAAGATGGGGATAATAAAAAGCCGTAGGCCTCATTTGTTGCAGTGTCCAGTGCGCTATTTACAGGCCTCTCAGTCTAATACACTCTAAAAAGGAAGAGGCGATGACTTAGATACTGGTTAAAAGAGTATTAGAGGGCTGAAAGCTGTGCAACGTATGAGAAGAAGTTGCTATGAGGTGATGTGGTGCATCCTTTCGTGGCCTCCCTCAGCTCCTTCAGTACCACTTAGGAGAGCTCTTGGGATGTCCTGCCCCTACGCTATCCCCTGGTTTTGAGAAAAGCAGTAGTGATCAGGGCTTCACCTGATGACCAGAGCTGGGCTGGAGAGTGCAGCTGGGGAGTTGCATATGGTAAGCACACTCTCATTTTGGCCTTTGCTAGCAGTTGCCTGCAGTACTCCTAAGGAGTCTCACAGCAGGGGTTGCAGAGGCTGGAAGGACACATGAGGATGGGGAACGGCTCTTCAGACAAATCTTTTTAAACACAGTTAATTACCGGAGCATCGCGCTGTGCTTGAACAGGTGGTATTTGCTCATAAATCTGCTAAGAGGCTTCTATAGGGAGAGGATTGTCTTACACCAAATGTAAGCACTTCATTGAGCTCTTGCTTATTCTTTTAACTGCAGTGCTTTTAATACTACTTTTTGAGCAGCAGTTGCTCTAATGTTTCATTTTTATTGTTACACTGGTTTATTTTCAGACACAATGTTTGGTGCTATCGGCTTTACAGCAACTATGGCTAAAACTTTACTTAGAGAGTGTATTTCCTGGTGCCCACCCTTGCAAACACCTACTCAGATTGATCCAGTCCCGAACAGTTTTGAAATGCCTATTCCAGATATTGAAGTTACTGAAACTATCTTTTGTATTAACATAGCTGAGTAAGAAAGTCCTCAAATGTATACAAATTAAATTCTCAGCCTCAACTTACTATTTCTAATTGCTTACAGAATTGGGATGGGACTGTTGCACTGTTTGTGCCACTGCTCGTGTTTGGGAGCCTGTCTTTGAAGCTGTAAGGACTAGAAAATTACTTTTTTGAGAAATTAAGATTTTTACTCTGTAAATCCTTAAGTGACTGAGGTCTGGATAAATACCAGAATTTCAGTGGCCTGGAGCCTGATGGTTGATACCGGCTACTGCCATATGCTGGTACTGCAGAAGCAGTGGATCACACTTCCCATTTATGCTGTCCATAGGGTGATAGATAGGGAGCCACGAGGAGAATTTGGGCATTTGTCTCCAAAAGGATTAGTGTAACTGAATGCATGAATGTAGCCAAACAGAGTGATTACTTCTGCTCTTGTAAATCATCATATAATAACTAAGCGAATTGTACTGACAAGTGTCTTTTTCCCACTAGACTGAAGCAACCTCAAGCTAGAAGAATGTTAGAAGAAGGAGTTATAGTTGCTCTTGGCAGTGACTTTAATCCTAATGCATACTGTTTTTCAATGGTAAGCTATTCCTAATACTTATGACACCACAAAATTATGAAATCTCTTACTAGTACAACTTGTGTATCGATCTTGCACACTTAAAACAGTCTTCACATCCACAAAGAAAGAGAGCTGTATGCTCCGCCTAGACAGCTGCTCATGCTTATTTGTGTGTGTTGGTAGTTATTGCCAGAAATTCTTGAAACCAGAAGGGGTCCTATTCTTCACACACACTGAGAGCCTTATAAAAAAGGCTCTCCAAGTTCCTGATTTGAGAGTTCTCATTTTGGAGTTGGCAAGATTTACATTATGCAGGACAGCTCCTTATGTTGCACGAGGAGGGAGAAGAGTACGTAGGGCTTTGAGGCATGAACAGCTTTATTTACGTTACTGGTAACTCCCATTTTCCCCTTAACTTGCCTACTAGCCTATGGTGATGCATCTGGCCTGTGTAAACATGAAGATGTCAATGAATGAGGCACTAGCAGCTGCCACCATTAATGCGGCTTATGCACTAGGAAAATCGGACACGCAAGGCTCCATAGAGACCGGCAAGCAGGGGGATCTTGTTATCATAAATTCATCAAGGTTTGTTCTCCCATCGTCCTTTGAGATGTGATTTAACATAAGGGACTTTGTTTTTCACCATGTTTGGCTAGCAGAGGGGTTAGTGAATTCCTCGTCCTTTAGAAGTTATTTTCATCTGAAAAAAAGGTCACTGCTAGCGTTTTAGACCCACTTTCATTGTCCTTAATCACTCTGGTGAAAAAGAAAGCCTGAGACTTTTGGGGCTAATATTACAAATAATCCATGCCTAATTACAAATTATCTAAAGATAATACCTGTTTATTTTGTGGAAGGAATTCTCTACTGATTTGTACATTAACTCACTGTATTCATGCAACAAGAGGTCAACATGTAGACATGGAATAGTGTTTTCCCGTGGTTCAAGCAAATCTTTTATCATTGCCAGGTGTACTGGGGGTGTGACCTGCTTCTGCAAGTCTGGATATTCTTAAACATCTTGTTGTCTTTTTAGGTGGGAGCACTTGATTTACCAGTTTGGGGGACATGAAGCATTGATCAACTACGTTATAATTAAAGGAAAAGTCATCTATCAAAATGAGAGGTGTGGGACAATGAGCAGTTACTGAGAGAAGACAGTAATTTAGGAAGCTACTATAATCAAATTAGCATGGAGTATTTCAAAGCAACAGGCAAATCAGATTTGTATTTACCAGTAAATTGTTTGCCTGCTCACATTACTAGCCCTCTTATTCAAATAAACTTTACCAAGTATTACTCGTTCAGGGCATCTTTGTGTCCCTTGTCCTTCTCTCCATTAGATGAAAATAACTTCTAATGATATCCATTTGAAATAAGACAGTTTCAAAAAATGGTTTCCTGTACAATTTTAATCTATAAAATTACTGTCTTTGAAAATAACCCAAACAAACCACCAACGAATGAAGAAGTTTGGATCCAGGTAAGATTTATTGGGAAGAGCGATGTTAAATAACCCGTGACGGAGGGCCAGAGGCTCAGGCTTGTACATTTGGAATGGCTCTTGGCAGTGCTGGGAGGCCACAGCATCCTGAGGCAACGTTCACAGCTCCTGGGTCTGCTCAGTCTTGAACTCAGCTATACCAGGAACCGCAGTCATGGTGGGAAGCACAGTATCTTACCTCTCCAAAATACCAAGTCTCCTGGTTTCTGCAGCCTTGAAACTGAGTGGGAACAAGCACCTGGGAGCCCAGCAAGGTGCTGCTTATTGGGTGATGTGCAACATCTTCCCTTGCTGAGGATCCCGCAGCCCCTTCGGGGCTGTATGGGCACAAGAAGAAGGAGGAAAGGAAAGTGCAATCAGGTACACCACTGACTGGGCTGCTGAAAATTGGGGCACACTGTAAGTTAGAGGTTGAATCAGGCCTACCGTTGGAAATCAGTGATGCCAAAACCTTACAGTTTACTCTTAGAGGCAGTTAGCATAGTGAGGTCTGGTGAGTACAGCCAACCTCTCAAAATTCCAGTTACCTTGAAATTTAAAAGATCACCTGCGGTGTCATACAGATGCTCCAAACAAGACCTGAATTCATTTATTCTAGGCTGAATCTGAAATAACACAAGAAATGTTTGCTCATGGAAGTTTGAATGTGCTTCTGATGGTAGGTTGAGTATGACAGCTCTTACTTGGAGTAATGTAGAAACTTAAGATCCTGGGTTTTTTTAAACCTCTCTTTCTTTTTTCTTTCAGCTACTATTTTTTTCCTGGGGCTTGTACCAACATTTGGGGATGTGGGATGTAGTAAGAAGGATGATACAACTCTGGGGAGTTCAAGCTGTTGCAGTGTTTAAGCAGAGAGTCTGGGGTGGGGAGAGTCTCTGAATACACACTGACTGAGGTGTTTCTTCAACTTTTCAAACGGATTGGTGGCTGCAGAAACACAAAGACTTAATTTTCAAGGTAAAGTTACAAAACTACACCTGAGAAGCGTGAAGAACTTAGCATCAAAATAATTATTGATATAAGCAGGAGACATAACCTATGGTACAGAGCAGAGTGCTTTAGTGAACCAGACCCATGAGGAAGGATGACAGTCTCGTTCTGCTTAACAGGTATTTGAAAACCATCACAAACATGTATGAGCTTTATTATGACCTTCTGATCCCCCCGAGCCTTGGGCACATCTGTTAACATCCAAAATACGTAAGCCACCCCATAGAGTATCTTTGTTCCTGCTTTATTTGATCCAGGCTAGCCAATTAAATCAGTTTTTAAAACAATTT